TTCATGGGTGCCATATTTATAGGGTCAAAGGGCAGTAGAGCGCTTGCGCGACCGTCCTGTGGGAGAATATTGTGATGTCACTGGAGATTGGTCAGCACGAGTTAGTGTGAGTGGGGGGAGGGCGGTTGATCTCAATTACAGGGCGGGTGAATGTGTGAGGCGTTATTATTGACGTCTACAGATAATAAGGGAAGGGATGAGTCTCAGAAACAGATGAGCTGAGACTGGAGCGAAATCGGTGATGATATTGAGGTGGAAATAGGTGGTTTTACTGATGGTACGGACATGCGGTTGGATTTTCAGTTTGGGGTGAAATATGGCACCAAAGTCCTGAACAGTCTGTTTCAGCGCTAGACAGTTCCCAGGGAGAGAGATTCAGTCGGCGGCTGGGGAATGGAGTTTGCAACAAGGACTGAAGGCACTGACTTTTATCCTCCTAATAGTTGATTGAAGGAAGTCTCTGATCCTCCACTGTTGTATGTCAAACTGGTCAGGACAGTTCGTCTTGGAGGGTAACTTGGTGGTGATGACATTTACGTAGTTTTGCTACCCTGAGTCTTTCAGCTAGTGAAAAATCCTGTCAAATTTCTGCACAAGTTTATATACATAGAGTTCCCCTTCCTTTCCCCCCAACCTATCCGACTTTATCACCACGTCTCTCTTTTCTTTCTCACTCCATAAAGGTCCTATTGTCTTGAGCATGCCCAGAACTGACCTGATTGATAGCTTCAGTTCAGTCTCTATGACAATCCAGCTACTTTCATGGTCACTTATCCAAAATGCCAAACCTATATACTGTCTGGTTCACTCAGGACAATTTCACAACCTGAATTTATGTCTTTGTGGCTTCTCTCTCATTCAGTTTTTCTGTTTAAATTGATTAATAGGGTATGCAAAGAGGAGGATTTGAAGTCAGGATATTGAAACCAAGCATCACACCTAGATCTGATGGAGTCACCCAATTTATCACAACTGAACTATCAACAGATTTTAAACATGGAAGATAAAAGCACCATTCACTGTGAGGAGAACAAATACACATGGTCTGTGTGCAGAAAAGGCTTCAGCCAATCAACTGTCCTCAAGAACCACAAATGCAGTCACACTGGAGAGATGCCATGGAAATGCGTGAACTGTGAGAAAGGATTCAATTGCCGCTCTGCGCTGGAAATTCACCAACGTGTTCACACTGGGGAGAGGCCATTCATCTGCTCCCTTTGTGGGAGGGGATTCGCTCAGTTATCCACCCTGCTGAAACACCAGCAAGTCACAGTGAGCAGAGATCTTTTAAATGTCCAGACTGTGGGAAGTGCTATAAAAGTTCCAGTGATCTGATGTCCCATCGGCGTGCCCATACTGAGGAGAGACGGTGCAAGTGCTCTGACTGTGGGGCTGGCTTCAAGTGATCATCTCAACTCATATTGTTCACAGCATATACACACCGGGGAGAGGCCATTCATCTGCTCTGAATGTGGAATTGGATTCACTCGGTCATCCCACCTCAAGTCACACCAGTAGGTTCATACTGAGAAGAGACCTTTTAAATGTACAGACTGTGGGAAATACTTTAAAAGTTCACACTATCTGCAGTCCCATCAACGTGTTCATACTGACGAGAGACCGTTTAAATGTTCAGAGTGTGAGAAGCGCTTTAAAGGTTCCAGGGAGCTGATCGTCCATCACCGTGTTCACACTGATGAGAGACCATTCAGGTGCTCTCACTATGGAAACGGGTTCAAGAGATCATCCCAACTAACTCTACACCAGCTTCTTCACACTGGGGATAGGTCGTTCATCTGCTCTGAATGTGGGCAGGTATTCATTCAGTCCTCCACCCTGTTGAAGCATCAGCGAGTTCATTCTGGGGAGAGACCATTCACCTGCATTGAGTGTGGAAAGGGATTTTGTGCATCATCCCAGCTCAAGGCACACCAGCGAGTTCACACTGAAGAGAGACCTTTCAAATGATCAGACTGTGGGAGGAGTTATAAAAGTTCTGGGGAGCTGAAGTTACACCAAAGTGTTCACACGAACTATAGACCATTCAGGTGCTCTCACTGTGGGACAGGGTTCAGATGGTCATCTGGTCTCACTATACACCAGTGCACTCATACCGGAGAGAGACTGTCCACCTGCTCAGTGTGTGGGAAGGGATTTACTCAGAAAATCCAACTCCTGACATACCAGTGAGTTCACACTGAGAAGAAACCTTTTAAATGTCCAGACTGTGGAAAGTGCTATGCAAGGTCCTGGGATCTGATACGCCATCAACGTGTTCACTCCAATGAGAGGCCTTTTAAATGTCCAGACTGAGGGAAGTGTTTTAAAAGCTCTGCGGAACTGATACCGAATGAACAGTGGTCATACCAGTGAGAGACTGTTCAGATGCACTCACTGTTGGATTGGGTTCAGATGATCATCTCAACTGACTGTCACCAGCAAGTTCACACTGCCTCTCACTGGAGAGAGGCTATTCATCTGCACTGAATGTGGGAAAGGATTTACTCAGAAATCCCACATCATGGCTCACCTGCAGAGACTGCAGCAAGTCCAGGGGTGATTTCAGGAGCTGTAATTTGCTGTTAATTATATCCAGGTTATAAACACGTTAAAACATCCAGCCCAACTTTAGGTGATAATTCTATAGCTAAAGATAATTATTTGGATTTTGCATTGAACATACAGTCTACTGAACCTATTAAATATCCCAAACAATTCTTTTTAAATATCAGGCAGACAACTAGACGTCCACTTAATATACGTAATACAATAATAACAGATAACTTCAATTCCCATACACACTGGGTGAACCGAGTCAGCACGAATGTTGTGGAAAGTGAATTTCTGCAGTTTGTACTGAAGCATTTCTGATTTACATTTTAGGTTGAGTATTCTGTGAAGAGAAGGATCATTAATAACCTTTCTGTCAAGGAGCCTTTGTTAAATATTGAACATAATGTGGCATTTTAATCAAGTTTGAAAGTGATATAGTTCATTATGGAATTATGGTCTCAATCTGAACAGTGGAAACGATGGAGTGGCGAGTTGGCTGTGATGTATTGGCAAAATACACAAAATGATTTGAAAGTATACCGGTAATAGTGAGTATTTGAATAAGTATCAGATGGTTAGAACAATTATGTATTTCTTGAAGACAGAAATACGCAGCAGGAAAATTAAATCAGCTACGGTTGACGAAAGGACTGATAGGTTACTCTGGATTAAAGGAAGTTGTTGGTAAAGTTGCAAGAAAAAGCGAGAAACCAGGGATTCGGGAATAATATATAACCCAACAAAGGATGGCCCAAAAATTGATGAAAGGGGAAAAGAGAAAATGTATAAAAGCTCACAGGAAACATAAAGGTGGACTGTAAAAATTACTTAGGTATGTGATTTGCAAAAATGCAGAAGTCTGCTGGATTGGCAGCCCAACAATAAGCTCCAACGTTCATTCCATCACCACAGATGCACAGTTGCAAAAGTATGTGCCATCTCCAAGCTGCACTACAATAATTCACCAAGGCTGCTCTAAAACAACCTTCTCATGACCTTGAACACTGACAAAGACAGTGGATGCATGGGAACAACACTTAATGTAACTTCTCTCTCAACGCATACTGCACTGTGACTTGGAACGAAATCACTTTTTATTCACCATCGCTGGGTCAAGAATATGGAACTCTGTTCCTAATAGCACTGTGGGTGACCCGACACCCCACGGACAGCAAACATTCAAGAAGGCAGTTTCCCATCACTTTTTTCTGGGCATTATGGTTGGGTAATAAATGCCAGCAGAACCAGCAACACCCACATCACATGAATAAATAAAAAATGAAAGGAGTGATACTTCACTGAGATTGAGCATTTGTAAAGGATGTTGCTGGGAAAATGGATTCAATGGCTGCTTATGTTAAGGTCTTTCAAAATTGCCACATACATACAGGGCCTATTTTCTCTTTAGTGCAATGGACTTTTGCTGTTTTAGTGAAAGAACATTGGCAGCCTCATATGAAAATGTCCAGTGACTAACCATCATTCTAACTAAATTTCAAAAGTAAAATGTATGACCTATCAAGCCAGATTTCACTCTGAGATTTAAGTTCTGCATTATTACCATCAACTGGGATTATATCACTTGGAGGATAAGCAGCGAACTCATTGAAACTTCAAAGATCCTTTCAGTATGGGTGTTGATTGAATTTCTCCCTTTGGTGTTGAGTCTAGAACCAGGGGAGATCATCTCAGAATAAGGAGTAGGCCATTTAAGACCAAGGTGAGGAGGACCTTTTCACTCAGATGGAATTCTCATTGGAATTCTGGACCCTGACCTTCATAGAAGGTCAATTATTGAGGATGTTCAATCATAAAGCAATAGACTCCTGAGATGAATGACATAACGGGAAATGGGAATACGGTAGGAAATAAATGATCAGCCATAATCCAATGGAAAGGTGGAGCAGGCTCAGGGGCTGAATGGTCCATTCCCGTTCCAAATTGAAGGGCATTCTCCATCTCCTCCATTCTCAAGGTTAGCAAGTGAGGAGCTGATGGACTCTGTCACTCAGAGTAAGACCCCCTGATCAGTTACATCTGCTGCGACCCTCCCCCATGTTCACCAGGCCAAACTGCCTCTAAAGTTTTTGCTTGAACCCCAACTCGTATTATTCTCCATTTCCCTCCTATCTCTGTCATGCCTGATCAGTGCTCATCTTGTCTATTTGACCCACTTCTGATTCCCTGAACCCAATTCCTAGGGTGTCCTCCAAGGATCTATCTATGGCCCCTCATTTTTCATCCACTAGGCAACATCATTGAAAAACAGTCCCAGATGAAGAACAAGTATTAAAACAGGGAGGAGCACATGAAAACCTGTGCATCCCAGCCACTCACCTCAGCAAATACCACCTGCCACACCAATGTCAGGGATTGTGAAACCCATATTGAACTGTTCAATTGAATTTCAGAACCCACAACACGAGAGTGAAAGAAAATCATTCTCAATTCCCAGTAACTGTTCAAGAGAAGGATAGGATTTAATAAAAGACATCATAAAAGTACAAGAAAGAGGTTCATAACAGATTATTCTGGACACAACAAATATACTGCTCAGTCTAAAAATATAAATCACCATCTCGCACGTTCTTTCTCATTATCTAAGTTTGGAATCCTAATCCTTCTGACTATCCTGCTTTTTCCCAAAATCTCCTTCGGTGAAGCTGCTGATTTTCAGGTTTATCTTCACAATCGCTTAACATAAAAACATAAGCATCGGGAGCAGGAGGATTCAATTCAGCCATTTCAGCCTGCTCTACCATTTAATATGATACTGACTGAAATCAGATCAACCTCAGCTGGATTTTACTGTCCGCTATCTATCACCCTTTAACTCATTACAAATTAAAAAATCTGTATCTCTTCACTAAATTTGCTCAGTGCTGGCATTCACTATATTTCATCCAGAATCATAGCATCCAAAAAGTTCAGGTAGTGAATTCCACAGATTCACAACACTTTGAGACAAGAATGGAGATAGCAAGAACTGCAGATGCTGGAGTTAGAGTCAACATAGTGTTGAGCTGGAGGAACACAGCCGGTCAGGCAGCATCAGAGGAGTAGGAAAGTTGACACTTCGGGTTGGATTGTCTCCGGATATTCCACCTCGGGAGCTTACAGCCCAATGGCCTGAACATAGAATTCATCAGGTTTATAATCTCCCCAACCTCAGCCTCATCCCATGTCCAAACCTCCCTCTCATCCCCGCCTCCTTCACCTGATACAACCTGTCGATCTTCTGCCCCTCCTATCTGCCCCACCCTTCCCACCGACCAATCCCCACTACCCCCTACCTGCACCCACCTATCACCATCGCACCTACCTTCCTCCAGCCCAACCAACCTCCCTCTCGCCTCCTTCACCTGACACAACCTGTCCATCTTCTCTCCCACCTATCCGCGCCACCCTCCCCACTGATCAATCCCTACCACTCCCTGTCTGCATTCACCTATCACCATCCCACTTACTTTCCCCCAGCCCCACCCCTCCTCCTTCTATTTCCCAGCTCCCTTCCCCCTCCCCAATTCTGAAGAAGGGTCTCAACCCGAAACATCAACTTTCCTGCTCCTCTGATGCTGCCTGACCTGCTGTGTTCCTCCAGCTCCACACTGTGTTGACATTGAGACAAGTATGTTTCTTCTCATCGCTGGTTTAAATCTGCGTTCCTTTATTCATTTCCCCGCCGCACAATTGGCTGAATCTATATTCCTTACGTCAGAAATCTGTTTGCCTAACTGCATGTGTCAGTTAAATCGAGTGATGGCCCACATATCCTGAATGGGAAAATCTGTTCTCACCACACTCCGCCCCACCATTTTTATACATCTTCCAGAGACAAGGCTCCAGTGGCTTCATGGGGACTACAACTCCCACAATCCCTGAGGCACAGGCTACACGTGTGTGGGGGAATGCCGGAAGTGCACATGTGCAGAACGTGGGAGGATTTCTGTGCATATGCACGGAGTAGCTGGGGCGGAACCCATTTCACACTGTGATTGGCTGGAGAACAAAAGCACCCGCTTTTTTTCATTGGTCTACCGGGGGTCAAAGTGTCACCACGCCCAACTGCGAGGCCATTCAGAGATAGTAGGAACTGCAGATGCTGGAGAATCTGAGATAACAAGGTGTAGAGCTGGATAAACACGGCAGGCCAAGCAGCATCAGAGGAGCAGGAAAGCTGACGTTTCGGGCCTAGACCCTTCTTCAGAAATGGGGGAGGGGAAGGGGATTCTGAAATAAATAGGGAGAGAGGGGGAGGCGAATAGAAGATGGATAGAGGAGAAGATAGGTGGAGAGGAAACAGACAGGTCAAAGAGGCAGGGATGGAGCCAGTAAAGGTGAGCGTAGGTGGGGAGGTAGGGAGGCGATAGGTCGGTCCAGAAAGGACGGACAGGTCAAGGAGGCGGGATGAGGTTAGTAGGTAGAGATGGGGGTGGGGCGTGAGGTGGGAGGAATGGTTAGGGAGGCGGGGACTAGCTGGGCTGGTTTTGGGATGCGGTTGGGAGAGGGAAGATTTTGAAGCTTGTGAAGTCCAAATTGATACCCTTGGGCTGCAGGGTTCCCAAGCGAAATATGAGATGCTGTTCCTGCAGCTTTTGGGTGGTGTCATTGTGGCAATGCAGGAGGCCCAGGATGGACATGTCGTCCAAGGAGTGGGAGGAGGAGTTGAAATGGTTCGTGACTGGGAGGTGTAGTTGTTTGTTGCGAACTGAGCGTAGGTGTTCCGCAAAGCGTTCCCCAAGCCTCCGCTTGGTTTCCCCGATGTAGAGGAGGCCACAACGGGAACAGCAGATACAGTATACCACATTAGCAGATGTGCAGGTGAACATCTGTTTGATGTGGAAGGTCTGCTTAGGGCCTGGGATGGGGGTGAGGGGGGAGGTGTAGGGGCAGGTGTAGTACTTGCTTCGGTTGCAGGGAAAAGTGCTGGGTGTGGTGGGACTGGAGGGGAGTATGGAGTGGACAAGGGAGTCACGGAGAGAGTGGTCCCTCTGGAAAGCAGATAAGGGTGGGGAGGGAAAAATGTCTTCGGTAGTGGGGTCAGATTGCAGATGGCGGAAATGTCGGAGGATGATGTGTTGGATTCGGACGTTGGTGGGGTGGTACGTGAGGACGAGGGGGATTCTGTTTTGGTTGTTATTGCGGGTAGGGGGTGTGAGGGATGAGATGCGGGAGACACGGTCGAGGGCATTTTCGACCACTGTGGAGGGGAAGTTGCGGTCCTTGAAAGAAGAAGACATCTGGGATGTCCGGGAGTGGAATGCCTCCTCTCGGGGGCAGATGCGGCGGAGGCAAAGGAATTGGGAATAGGGGATGGCCTTTTTGCAGGAAGGTGGGTGAGAGGAGGTGTATTCTAGGTAGTTGTGGGAGTTGGTAGGTTTGAAATGGATATCGGTTTCCAGGTGGATGCCAGAAATGGAGACAGAGAGGTCCAGGAAGGAGAGAGAGATATCAGAGATGGTCCAGGTGAACTTAAGGTTGGGGTGGAAGGTGTTAGTGAAGTGGATGAACTGTTCGAGCTCCTCGTGGGAGCATGAGGCAGCGCCAATACAGTCATCAATATAATGGAGGAAGAGGTGGGGGATAGGGCCAGTGTAGCTTTGGAAGACGGATTGTTCCACGTATCCTACAAAGAGGCAGGCATAACTTGAGCCCATGCGGGTACCCACGGCCACCCCCTTTGTCTGTAGGAAGTGGGAGGAATTGAAAGAGAAGTTGTTGAGGGTGAGGACGAGTTTGGCTAAGCAAATGACGGTGTCAGTGGAGCAGGACTGGTCGGGCCTGCGGGACAGGAAGAAGCAGAGGGCCTTTAGGCCATCTGCATGGGGAATGCAGGTGTATAGGGACCGGACATCCATGGTAAAGATGAGGTGTTGGGGACTGGGGAATTGGAAGTTTTGGAGGAGGTGGAGAGCGTGGGTGGTGTCACGGACATAGGTAGGGAGTTCCTGGACCAAAGGGGAGAAAATGGAGTCAAGATAGGTGGAGATAAGTTCGGTGGGGCAGGAGCAGGCGGAGATAATGGGTCGACCAGGGCAGTCAGGTTTGTGGATTTTGGGAAGGAGATAGACGCGGGTGGTGCGGGGTTGGGGAATGATGAGGTTAGAGGCTATGGGTGGGAGGTCACCTGAGGTGATGAGGTTGTGGATAGTTTGGGAGATGATGGTTTGGTGCTCGGGGGTGGGGTCATGATCAAGGGGGCGATAGGAGGAGGTGTCAGAGAGCTGGCGTCTGGCCTCGGCGATGTAGAGGTCAGTGCGCCATACTACAACTGCGCCTCCCTTGTCCGTGGGTTTTATGGTGAGGTTGGGATTGGAGCGGAGGGCTGCACGTTCTGTGGGCGAGAGGTTGGAGTGGGTGAGAGGGGTGGAGAGTTTGAGGCGATCGATGTCTCAATGGCAATTAGAGATGAAGAGGTCAAGGGAGGGTAGGAGGCCTTGGGGTGGTGTCCAGGAGGAGGGAGTGTGTTGGAGGCGGGAGAAGGGGTCAGTAGAGGGAGGGTTAGGCTCACGGTTAAAGAAGTAAGCACGGAGGCGGCGGAAAAACTGCTCAATGTCCAAACGTGAGTTGTATTCGTCGATGTGTGGCTGTTCACTTGCTCTGAATGTGGGAATGAATTCTTGGTTGCCCTGCAGAAACAGAAGTGTGCTGCCATTGGAGAGAGGCCTTTCACCCACTGCATGCGTGGGAAGAAATTCGGTGAATATTTCACCCTGTTGATACACCAGCGAGCTCACACTGGGGAAAACTCTACAAAGTACAGGCTTAAAGTGCTCAGTCTCTCCTCATAAGACAAACCCCTCATCTCTGGAATTAATCTCCTCTGAACTGTGTCCTATGCAATTTATATCCCTCCTCAATCAATGGGACCAAAATTTGTTTGTGATATTCCATATGCGGTATCACACAAAGCTTGTATGGTTACAACAACACTTTTGTACTTCAATGCACTATTACTTTTCCAATAAATGCCAAAATTCCATTTGCCTTCCTTATTACCTGCAGCACCTGCATATTAGTTTTCTGAAATTCATGCATGAGGACACCCAGATTGCTCGACATCAAAGCACTCTGAAGGTTCTCTGCACTGAGACAGTAAGTTGCCTTTCTATACTTCTGACAAAAATGGATAACTTTACATTAGATTCCATCTGACAAATTTTGGACTATTCAACTGACCTATCTATATTTATTTGTAAATTTTTATTCCATTATTACAACTTACTTTTGCACCTATTTTAGTGTCATCTACAAATTTGAGTACAGCACCTGCTCTCCTTGCATCCAAGTCATAAATCTTGTGAACAAAGACTGGAACTGATTTTCCAATTTTTCTCTCCACCCACGTGTATTTTTCTCTCCATGTTCATGTTTGCCTTTGTGTAGAAGGGGAGCTGAGAGTTTTAAGTTGTAGAGTTTTTGAATTAGTTAAACTGTTTACCTGCACCAGGAATCTGATCAAAAACAGTTGCTGGAAAAGTTCAACTGGTCTGGCAGCATGTGTGAAGAAAAATCAGAGTTAACATTTCGGGTCTGGTGACCCTTCCTCAGAACTCACCTCCAGAATCTGATTACTTGTGAAAAACAGGAATTCTTCTTTGGTGTAGCGACTTCGTCTATCAACGAGAGTACGAAAACTCGGGTAGTTTGGGGGTTCTGCTAACTTTAATTCTTTAACTTTGTGATGACTTCATGAGTAGTGTGGCTGATTTCCATCATGACACCACTCAACGTTAACATTTTCTAATAAAAACAGAAAGGATTGGAGAAACTCAGGAGATCTTTTATTGCCTCTGTCCCAGAGGATGTTAATATATATTTTAAGGCTTATATGAAGGGGTGGTATTAAATTGGTCAAAATGACCCCGGGTGCCTGAAGGGTAATGCTGACTTCAGTTCCTGTTCACATTGTGGTCCTCGCATTCAATGAAGGGACACTTTCCAATGTCAGTCAGGGTCCTCCATAGTATATTGTACAACATTTTAACGGATCTCTTGTGGCGCAGTGCTAGTGTCCCTCAGCCTGGACTTTGAGTCCACGGTTCAAGTCCTGCTACTGCACAGGCGTGGAATGACATCTCTGAACGGGTTCATTAGAAAAATTGGTTAAACTGAACAAAATGTTCACGGCACCTTCCCCTGCAACCGGTGAAGGTGCAACACCTGCCCATTTACCTTCTCCCTCCCTATTATCCAAGTGCCCCAAACATACTTTCCAAGTGAGGCAACGCTTCATCTGCACTTCCCAGAATCTAGTCTACTGCAGTCGCTGCTCACAATGTGGTCTCCTGTACGTTGGGAAAACGAAGTGTAGATTAGGTGACCACTTCACAGAATATCTACGTTCTGCTCACAAAAAAAGATCCTGAGCTACCTGTTGTCTGGCTAACATCTCTGTCTCTGGCTTGTTGCAGTGTTCCAGCAAAGGTCAACACAAGCTGGAAGAACAACACCTAATTTTCCGCTTGGAGACCCTGCAGCCCTCTGGACTCAATATCGAGTTCAATAATTTTAGGGCCTAAACTCTCCTAAATTCTCATTTCTGCGAGAGAATTCCAACTCTCCCAGCCCCCTACCCCACATACCAGGCCTTATTATCACATCAGAGATAGTAGGAACTGCAGATGCTGGAGAATCCGAGACAACAAGGTGCAGGGCTGGATGAACACAGCAGGCCAAGCAGCATCATAGGAGCAGAGAGGCTGACGTTTCGGGCCTAGACCCTTCATCAGAAAAGGGGGAGGGGAAGGGGGTTTTGAAATAAATAGGGAGAGAGTGGGAGGCGGATAGAAGAGGGGTAGAGGAGAGGATAGGTGGAGAAGAAACAAACAGGTCGAAGAGGCGGGGATGGGGCCAGGAAAGGTGAGTGTAGGTAGGGAGTTAGGAAGGGGATAGGTCAGTCCAGGGAGGACGGACAGGTCAAGGGGGCGGGATGAGGTTGGTCGGTAGGAGATGGAG